ACCATAATATGAATATTATAAAAAAAAAAAATACTATTAAAAAAATACAAATTAACTGTTAAAATAAATAGTCTTTGCATTCTATTACTCTGAGGTCTGTGTAAATTATATAAAAAAAGGAAATATATCAACAATATGCAGCTTTATAAGAATTGTTTTGTAAAATTAGCAATCGAGTTTTTAGTTATATTTTTCCCTAATAAAAAAAAAAGTTTGACTAGATTTTTTTTTAAAAATGTATAATTTTTTGAACCACGCTAGATCTACTTTGCCGTAATTTTAACTTGAAAAGCATGTCAATTTGTAGAATGAAATAATTTGAACAATACAGTCCAATTGTGACTTATTATATAATATGTTTGGTTGCTGAAATATTGTAAAAAAATATGTAAAACTGAAATAATTAAAATTTGTATTATTTAAAATAATTTATCTTATTATTATATTTACCTGATCGCACTGACAATCTAACTTTAACAATGATGCGATTGTGAATGTATAGCTGCCAAATAGACACTTGAACACGTCTACGTGAAATGAAGAAAAATATTGAAAAAATGCGGCTTTTAATACGTGCAAAGCCGTTTAATAATTTATTGATAAACATACTCAGCCACGAGGTATTATGCAACGTTTATAAAAGACAACATTTCCTTACTTATGTCTGCACACGCTACCATTGGTTATTTGTATTGCTTTGAACTAATACTTAAAGACGACCTAGAAATGCCCCTACCTATTAGGTGTTTACATTTATAGCCTCAAACATTGCATTAGTTATTAGCAAGAGTCCGTTAAAGGGCAACTTTTATTTCGTTTTGAATGTAGGTAGGTACATTATGTTATTGATCATCATTATATGACTAAAATATTAATACTGTAATAAGGTCTAGTTAGATAGTTAAAAAAAAAAACGTTGTTCTATTGTGTGTCAAATTCAAAGAACTTAAAGTTTATATAAAAAAAAAAAAATTAACATTGATGTGTTGAACCAAATTCAACTTAGGAGTTATGAATGTATTGTACAAGTATCAGTTACATAATACATTGTTGGAACATTAACTTGTAGAAGTAGAGAATTAATTTAAATGGAAAAAAACAATATTTGTTGTAATCAGAGGAAACTAAGCCTAAACGAAAGAAGGAAATAATAATCAGGGTTATAAAATAATGTATTATGGTAGGACTACTACAAAGAATGGCTTGGGAGTAATAGGGGATGACATGGACATTGATTTGCATAGTTTACACAAAGCTTAAGTAAATTCAAAAAGGCAAAATGTCTGTACAATTAAGGTGAATATTTCCATCCAATATTACAATTTACAGAACACCATATTTCGGTTTTGAAATTTAACAATTATTGCGATTAACGATTTTACATTTTAAACTATTTAAAAACCAATATGCGTTATGATATCTAACCCGTTTAAAACTTGATTAAGTTCCCCTCCCCTCCAACATTAACACTTTAATGATTTAATACAAAACATGTATTTGTTTTATGACCACCAAGTAGAAATCTGAAAATAAACGTATTTGTCAACATTATTAAAATGACAAATAACTTGATATTGTGTTGACTTAATAACTCAATTATTTGTTGGTCCATACAAAGACAACGCCTGTTAAATAGGGTCTTCTTTTCCACTTTAAATAGATATTATAAAGTAAAATGTATTTGAGTTTTTTTTTTAAGAACAACTAAATCTCAAATAAATACCTCTAATGTATACTTCAAGGCGCTGCATAATATATTATTCCTAAATCCAATGTTATATTCATAATAGCTTTAAAATAACCTAAAATTATAAACGAAATGTATAATTTGTATTCATTCCAAAGCTCGATTACACAATGATATTTTGTTAAATTTGACTTAAGAGGCAAACTTTTTCTTTGAGTAATTTCAAGACGACCTTGTTTAAATGAAGCGTTCTGAAAAATAGGAGTGCTTACAAAAGGAGGGTCACTTATATGCAAATATTTTTGACAATTAAATCAAATTTCCTTATGTTTTTTTTTTATGTAATAACAAAATATTTTTATGTAATTGATCTTTGAAAAAAGTATAAAATTTAAATTCCGCTTAAAACTAAGTTGTTTGTTTAATTTTTGAAAAACGTTCTTCCTTCGACTTTCTCTGTTGGACCGTGTACCTACTTAAGTATATAATATCCATTTTATCATATCGTTTGAGTATAGAAATAGACAATATGAACAGCTCTATGTTGTACAAATATTTAATACTTAAGTATACGATTTTTAAGTGGCTTAAATAGCGTTTTTTAATGAAAATTCGAATTCCCGTTACTATTAATTTATGTGTGAGTAAGTATAGGAAATGCAACGAATAGTCCGTTTTTTGTTTGTGTATAGTAAACAAGCACATAGTTTAAATGTAACAAGATAGCATAGAAAATTATACTTAAAAATTTAGTATACTCAAACAAAAACTCAAGGTCTTATGGGGGTTGTTATGTTATTAGGAATAACCGATGTATTCGTGCATTCGTATAAAATATTTAATCGGTTCTGAACAATTTGTTGTGTACCATATCATTATATTTGACCTATTTTGTTTTAAGTTGATTCTGTTATTACAAAATTCGAATAGGCATAAAGGCGATATTGAAATGGATTACAGACTAAAAACACAAACTTCAGAGTTCAGGCTATTAGTTATTATTGCCTTGAATATTTAAATGTATTTCAATTGTTTGCTATTTAACAATAATATCAAATCATTTGATTTGTAAAATTTTTACAAATCTGCGATATTTTATTTTAAAACTAAACATTATAATTTAACGAATATTATGAAAATCTGACATAATACTTTTCTACGTTATTTATATACAATTTTTTTTTAACCATGATTAAAAAACATTCAGCATAAAAAATTCAACTAAAAACAGTTTTTAAACAAGAAATAAAATTAGAATGAATATTGTTTTGATAATATATGTGACATTTAAATGTTTTTATATTATATACTGTTATAAAACTAATATTCACCCTCTTCCCTCCACCATGTAGGTATATCTTTAATTTACTATGTCAAACATAACATATATTTTGTTAAAATTGAAAATGCTAACTTACTTTTCAGTTTAATAAAATGTGATGACAATATTAAATTAATACTTTTGAAGTAGGTAATTGTAATGTTTTTTTACTTGAATTCAAAATTGTTATTTTTTATGTAAAGCAGTAGGTACATTTTGTAATCAATCGGTAATCACCATCTCTCTTTTAATTACCAAATGTAAATTTGTATTTTAAACTATAAGTAGTATACCTACTTATTTTTTGTTTTAAAAAGTTAATTTACTTTTAATCAATAATGTAAATCATAAAAAAACTTGTTAATGAAATTTAAAAGAAAATGGCTAAGACATAAATAAAATGATTGAGTCATAAAAAACGGTTGTTTGTATTTATTTCATAAGGAATTAATTGCATAGCAATGGCATCAAGGATTAGGTTAACACTTCCCATTTGCCTACTGACCTAGTCCCAGTAGTGGTATAGCTAACTCAATCCATGCCAACTTACCATACAAAAAACCATCTTTTAAAATAAGGAAACTACATGCGTATTTCAGCTAAACATAGTACAATATCATCTCATAACTTCATTATGCATATATACAATTAAACTCATGCTGATATTAGAGAACCCATTTCATCAAAAAGTTAATTTAAAAAAGCTTCCATTTTAATTCCAAATAACATTTGAATTTCTGGAAAGCATTTAATTATTAACTTGGAATTACTTCCTTAATAAATTTATGATGCGATTTGTTTTATTTATAATGGTATAGAAAATACAAAAGAAGATCAGATTCAGGCCAAATATCTTAACCAATGACATTATGACGTGAAACTTCTCCATTTCCAGCCCTACTACAATTGTTATAGTTTTAAAACTGATTTGTTTCAAACGTTTTTAGCATTTGGTCGCTGTATCAAGGAAATGCGATACTTCACTCTTAATTTACTTTATATAGAATAGTTTTTATATAAATATTTTTTGTACACGATTAACCTATTCGATCTCTCTTTTTCATACCTGAAAATCTAATCTTTTACTATTCTTATGCGAAAGACAAAATTTGTAAGGAAATGAATCTCACGGAGTATGGGTTCTAGAACCATTGTATTAACTTCATTAACATGCTACCTAACTAACTATGTACTTAACATACATTAATTAAGGACTATATTTGTTTTTACATTGTTTATTATAACGAATCTCGAATATAGTATAAATCATTTTTTACACGTCTCATTAAAACTAGGCCACGTTATACGACAAAATGGAAAAGAAAAAAATATAGTCAAGTTTTAAGTAAGTATCTACAACAATAATTATAATATCCAGTAGGTGTATTCTGTTCCAAATAACAAAGTGTCGGCGCGGAGCAGACCAACACAGCACAACGGACGCGTATAATACAGTGTATATTAATTTATTTCAGACAAGATAATTAGTCCACAAGTATAAAATGTGCAAGAAGTATTCCTTGTAAATTCAGTTTTAAAATTAGAACCTAGGTAAAATACTATTTTGAATATACTAAATACCTTAGAGCTAATACTTTATAGGCTGTAGCAAAAATTGTCATTTGCCGATTATTATTTTCAAAACAATTCTACTATTGTTTACTGATAAGTGGTAACTGATAAGTGATAAGAGATAGCCATATTGTCTGCACACCCCCCCCCTCCCCTACGAACACTACAGTCAAACGAGGCTTGACAATTATTTTAAATTTCGAAAATTCAATGAAAGGATTCACCGTTTAAGTAGGTATAATATGTTTGATTTGTAAATTATAGTTTATAAATTATACGGTACAATTACAGTTTTTGAGCCCATGAGTATCGTTTAACCGAGTTTGACATGCACAATAATAATTTTTCTTCAATATGGTCTTACTGAGCTTACAAGCGTGAATTTCGATTTCGTGATAGCTTATCGCATCAACTCTGATATTGTTCTCTTTTCTATGGTCCCATCTCGTGACACGAGAATTTACCAATTGTAAATAAGAATAAAGACTTTATTATCTGTTATTGTATGAAATTTACAATTTTACTCGTTGTGTTATAAGTTTATAAACTTATTAGCTTAGAAGAGAAAAGTCGAGTTATGCCAAAAAATAAAGGTATGTCGAATAACATTTAGAAAGTTATTATAATGACTTAAATGTTTTCAATAAACATAAATTCGGAGCACAAGTCTAGTATTGTAAATTTAATCACGCTGTGTAATTTTTTTTATAAACCTCTTAGGAAAAGGAGGTAAAAATCGTAGACGTGGTAAAAACGAAAATGAGACAGAAAAACGTGAATTGGTATTCAAAGAAGACGGACAAGGTAATACTTTTTTCTTTAGTAAAACGTTACCATTTTTATCTGACTAATTGGAGGTTTATTTTCCATATTTCTATCATGTTTTACATTAATAACGGACATGGGAATCAAATAACTCTTAAAACACTGTTAGGTAAATGAAGTTTCTAAGCATTACCATCTTAAACATAAAATGTAAAAAAAAAATGTAATTATTTATACTTGTTAGATATTTCAATACTTAATTAATAATACATAATATTTATTTTTATTTTTTTCTAAAGGCTAAGCCTTGTCACAGTGAAAAAATAGACTTCCACTCTTCTCTCTTCATGTCTTTCCATCGTTCTAACATGGGAATATAATGAGGTGGAGACCTTGCTCTCCTCAATATTTATGTTAGAAGATTAAAAATTAAAAAATAATATGTTATCTGTGACACATACGTAGTATCCTTGGTATGGTATTTTATAAATATATATATATATATATAAAACACACTTGGTGAAAAGTACACACTTGCTAATTAAGGAACTATTATCTATAATAATTTCATTGTAGTTAAAGAAAACTAAGGTGGAACCTGGTTTTTACTATCACAATTATTACTATGACAATTTTTTTAAAATTTAAATCTATTTAAAAAAAATATATATATGATAGATGTAGGCAAAGACGCAACTAGGACGGTGCTAAGAGGACTAAGCACCCCCAAAAATGCAAATATTGTAGAAATGTAAAATAAACTCAAAATGGATTAATCAGTGTACACGCATTACATCAAAGTCTTATGTCTTATTTTAACATTTACAGAATATGCTCAAGTTACAAAAATGTTGGGCAATGGACGTCTAGAAGCTATGTGTTTCGATGGGGTTAAACGGCTTTGTCACATTCGAGGAAAGTTGAGGAAAAAGGTTAATTCATTTTTACAACAATATTTTTGTTAAAAGTTAATGATGTCTTATTGACATTAAAATTGACATATTTTATTGTTTGTTTATACATATGGTACGGTAAATTTTTTTTTAACCCATCAGTGGTCGTGATGCTTTTTATAACATCGTTAGTCGTGTGTGAGCTTTTAATTTTTCTATTAAAAATAGTATGTTGGACCATAATTAAAAAATTTGTTATAATTAATGAAATTTGAGTATATTAATAATTTGTTTAGTATTCAAATTACAATTAAAATGTTTAAGAAACGTCTATAAAATACACCCGCCCTCAATCACGTGTAAGCGCGTTGTTCACTCGATTTTTAGCCATCATTTCTTTAATTATTTGTATTTTTAAATCCTTGACATCGCTTCTACCTTATGCTAACACATCAGCAAATATTTCTGAATACAAAAATAACGTTATGAGAAAAAATTATAAAAATTTAACTAAAAAAAAAAATGTATATACGATTAGTCGCGTGTGAGCGCTGACTACTTTGTGATTATTGATTTTAATCTTCAATAAGAAGCCAAAAAATGTATAAAATCATAATATTTTAATTTGTAATTATTGTATCAGCTGAAGGTATTTATAGTTTAAGATGAAATACCCAAGAAACTAGCCAGTGGTGTCTTAACTCGTTCATATGTAAGCGCGGCACTTTAATTGCGACCACTGACTAGTTAAATACAAAAGTATATTGCCATAGGTGTAGGTATTAACTAGCTATTAGAGTGATAAATGCATTTGTACACTCATGTTGTCCAGAAAACGACTATAGTCAAGATGTACATGCCAAGAGTATTAATCATTTTCAAGAAACTAGCCTACCAATCATCTGTTAGATAATAAAATTCAGAATATTTTTAATGTTTGTTAATGATAATTCAGGAGAATTTAATGTTTTAAGGTTGTGCATACCATGATTTTGCAAATTAACAGGTATTACGCTTATTGTTTGATATTATTTTTAAAATGTGCATTTATAAATATAAGTGATTGGTTACAACTATGACCCAACCAATAACTCTTTGATTTCATCTTTTAGTAGACTTCCTGTCAAAAAACAAAAAATGACTTAAATTGTTTCATAACTTTCATTTTTATCGAAAATTCTCGTATTAAAAAAACAATAAAATTATGTATGTAGCTATTTGAAAAATAAAAGTAAACAACAATACCATTTATTTAAAAGAGCAACATCTCCCTAAATATAAATATATATGTATATAATTACTAGATGATTGCAAAATTAAGATAGCTTTGTCAGGCAGTTTTAAAAAAATAAACAATAAATGTCGTTGAATATGTTCTTTATTCAGTTCTCTTTTGATACTTGACGCAACGGCAATAATTCATTTTAGCTAAGAGTACAGAAGTATTTTAGACTGTATTCATGTATTTATTTGTGTGATAATATTATGTTTTAAGGTGTGGATTAATCAAGGTGACATAGTACTGATAGGTCTACGTGATTATCAAGACACAAAAGCTGATATTATTTTGAAATATACACCAGACGAAGCTCGTAATTTGAAAACATACGGAGAATTTCCTGAAACTGGTAATTATTTCAATAACAACAAGTTGTTTAGAATTTGTGTACTTGAATGTTTAAAAAGCAAGACATGTATCTTAACACGATTTGTTTGTTTTCAGTGCGCATCAATGATACAGTTACGTTTGTCGACGACGGTTTGGATGAAGACATTGAGTTTGGCGATGATATTACCGATGACGATGAGGGAGAAGTTGTTGACAATGTAAGAAGAGTAAACACACGTTTAATCAATACTCTTAATAATTTTGTTTTTTTTTGTATTGTTGTTTCAGATCTAAACTATTCTGTGGCCCCTAAATATTGTATATTTCATCCGAAACAAATAATAACATATTGATAATATAAAAATAAAAACTTTAAAAATGAATGTGTTTCGTTATTGAATTACCTAATTAAAAAAAAAATACAGTAAAAACGAGTAATCAAAAACATCTTCATTATATCATTAACTACTATACCTGGGTAACAACAGCATAAAAAAAAAAGACGATCAACTCTAATCATATCCATTCTTATACTAAAAAGGAGGAGAAGAAGTGACCCCCAGGGGGTATGGCTGCAGTATGTTAGCACTCAATGTTGCCGGTTCAGCACTCGGTCACAGGCTCCGTTTGTCAGGCGATTAAAAAGGAGCTGCCGTCCACCTATCCGGCAACGGGCTGATGACCTGTCCAAGATAGCAAATGAGTGTTGGGCCTCACAGGCCCGTTAAGATGATGATAATGATACTAAACACACAATTTCAATCACATTATTGTCATTACAACGCTTTTTCAATATTTGTATTTCTGCCATCTACAGATTCGCACCGAAGCGTTTATTTGAAAGTGATTTTATCACTTTTAGTTAAAAAAATTCCTATAGACCTTCCCCACCCCAATATGATCCATTCCCACTATGCCTCGACACCACTGTACTTCTTTAAAGTTGTTTTTTTACACGTTGTGCTTCAGGTAATATGACTTGCAAGAGACTTGACATGACACCACCCGATAGAAGAAATCTAGTCGTTACACAGAAATAAAACCTTCATCAGATGTGCAGAAATGTAATATTATTCTGACTAGGTTAAGAACTTTATTTTGTTTAACGCAAAATTCAATGACAACATTTTTATTTTGCATTTATTTTATAATTTGGGATTTAAGGGGAATTTTTTAGCAACTTGAGTGTTCATTATAGATTTTTCTGAAGCATTATTTCCACATGCAAATAAAGGCTTGGTATTATAATAATTTGTGTCATTCCAACTGAAATCATTGTAACAATTTTACACTAATAAATTATAAATCAAATAATAGTAGTTTGGTAGGTACATCTTTTAGATTTTTTATTTCTACTGTGTAGAAATAAAAAGGTACTGCGTAAAACGTTGAAGAATACATTTCATTGGTTTTTCTTCTAAAAGTACCCTCCTTATATCCTACTGTATACCTATTTAGGTAGGTATATTTTATTAATTTACATGGTTAGTTTAAAGTTTAAAGTTTACATTGTTCCTTTTATACTCAAGATATAAATTTATTCTGAAAATAAATATCTATATGAAAATATTTCCACAGCTTTGGTCTTTAAATTCAATTCTTGAGTGTACCAGTTCAATTTTTATCATAATTGATAACGATGAATGAATTATTTATAACAAAAGATCCTATGGCAATATATTTTGTCAAAAATTTAGAATTTTTTTATTTAACCGTTTATTAGAAAACACATAAAAATTATATACGCTTTTAACTTAATTTAAAAAACAAAAATAAAAACCTTTGGCCCACTAAAAAGGATGTTAAGTTTTACAAAACAAAATGTTTTTCTTTAAAATTGGTAAATTTCTTGGAAAATAATCATGCTTTATTATTTATACGCATCCATACAATTTTCCTCTTACCATTCCTTCTTGAATCTGCTTTAAAAATTATAATCGTTGTCAGTTGTGTGATAAAAATTGTTTTGATCAAATTATAAATCTTAAAACACCTTCGATTTGTAACCTAACCTAACCTTTGATATACTCAATATTTTGCTACTTACAAAAATGTTAAAAAAAGTTAAATTTAACAAAACAATTTTCTATTTATATATATTTTTTAAAACCTAGTTCTAACTTCTTATTGAAGTTTTGTTTTTGTCTTATTTACAAGTTCTAACTAATGTATTTGTCAATTCAATATTTTGACCATATGACAAACGGTTAGGTTTTTATTGAAATTTTTTATGTCAATATTATCTTTTGATGGCATACAAGCTTTTTTTTTTGGAATTTTTTCTCTGTTTTAATCAACTTAATAATATTGTTTATTGCAAAATAACTAGTATTAAAAATAATTTAACTATTCAAATTGTATTGTTAAAGTTAACACGAGTTCTAATTAACTGACTAATTAAAAAAATCGCACTAATTATCGTTAGTTCATATTTCACAAGTAAGTGGTACTGCGATTTAAAATATACCTAATTAAATTAATTATAAATCGTTATGTAGGTAATAAAATACAAAAATGAGTACAATATATTTTCAGTTATGCAAAATTTGGATTGGTTCCATAAACCGTTATTTCAGTTTGATAACAACTAATGTGAACTCTAAAAAGTCAAATTTTTTCAAGAGAATGTCATATTTGTGTTTTTTTAAATATTTCAATTTTTAAAACGCGATATCACTCCAAGTTGTTCAGTACATTGAAACGAATAAATTGCTTGTACCTACATAACATTTTACAAGCTAGACAAAATGTTGACTACTTAAGATAATCCAATTTTGATTCTGTAAAGATATACGAGTTTCTTTGCAACTTTACTACCCACTAGGTTATGTAGGAAACAGATTTTTTATTTTTTTATTTAAAAAAACTGGTTTTAATGTTGAAAAAAATTGCAAAATTAAATTTATTTACTTACAAATTTTTAAATAAAAATCGGCTTCCTACATAACATAGTTAGTCAGCCAAAGCACTCGAATCTTTTTACATAATTGAAATTGGACCATTGCTTTTGGTCTAAAATAAAAACCAAAATGGCTTTTACTCATAGAAGAAAAATTATTTTCATTATAAATAATACCTTATTTATAAGGTAATAAATACCGAAGCCGAAGCTATATAAATTAACCGGTAAATTAATTTAAAGGTCGAAATTTATTAAAATCTCTTTTTTCTTAAATATAGCCTATACGAAACTCCTTAAAACAGTCCCCATGCAATCATTGTAAAAACAATATTATACTTTCTCAACTAAAGCTAAAAAAATCGAAAATTTCTCCTCTGGAAAACCGGTATGACCAGGCCAGTCCCTTAGGCGCAACTAGGGGGTGCTAGGGGGACTTTGGCACCCCTAAAAATTCAAACCTCAATCCTTGATTTGCGCGCATGAAATTTTAATACTGTAAATACCTACTCTGTTGAAAATGTTTTATTTTAGAACATTTTTGTTTTCTAATATATTATTTTATATCTAATGGTTTAAAGATAAGAATTATGTTTGGTCAGTCAGGTATACGACATGATTTTAGCACCCCCTAAAATAAAACGTCGTGCAATATCCGCCCTGGCCGTGACGCCGCCGTTTTGTTGTTTTTGTCTGTGTGTGTATACAATATGAGTATATACATATATATACAATGTAGCGCTTTCGGATGAGGGTCCCTTGGGACGAGAGACACGGCGGGCTTGCGCCCTGAAGACAAACCGACGGCCGCCGCGATTACGGCGGGACGAGATCAATATATTGCGCGTACACATACCTACACCGGCGGGTCCTACCTCCCGTCCACCCGGCCGCAGTGTACTTTTTACACGGCTTGTCGTGTAAGCGCGTGGCCGGAAGGAGAAGGGGTTGTGTCGAAGCGTCGTACGGTAATTATTTTCTTTTTTTCTCCACCTCCTCCTCGTCCACGTTCTCCTCTTGTTCGGTTTTTAGTTTATGTTTGTTCGGTGTTTTACTTTTTTTTTTTACTCTCGCCCCTCCCTCCCGCGTGCCGTTACCGGGAAACGCAGGTCGATCCCGAAACCGGCGGAGGCAGTCCCGCCGCTGGCGTCGCGCCCTGCCGACACTTGCCGACCGCGTTCGAATCCTTTGTGCCTACTACAGAGAGTGCACGCACTTTCAGGAAAACTATGCGCCGCGACGACGGCCGTGCGAACCGCATAACGTCGCTGTCATTGTCGGCCGCGGTGATTATTGTCGCTTAACTGGTGCCGCCATCAGCGTCCGCGGCGAGGTCGGTGTTTTTTTCGCCTTGTGTTTTTTTAACTATCCCAAGTGAATTGCTGCCTGAGCATGAGGAAAGAGAAGAAAAAGCGCAAGGACAAAAACAAAAAACAGGAACACCCGGAGTCGTCGCCGGACGAATGCACACCCGGCTGCAGTAGCATGGACTGTATGGGCTTGCAGCAAGCACACGCGTCGCCTCCTCCCAGCTACGAATGCAGCTTGGCCAAGGTAACAGTCGTAGAAAACAATGTGTCGATCATATCATTTTCATATAATAAAAAAATATATTTAAATATGTTGGTTTACATTATAGTTTCTGGCGTCTTCTTCTTCTCCTTCGCCTTGCTTTAAACTTCTACTCGACTAATCCTCGAATACACCAGCAGTCCTCATCAAACCATTCTCGCGTCTCTCTCTTTCCTCCTACGTTTATTTTCATTACTATTCTCGTTGTACTTTTTTGTACGAATTTTATAACTTTGTATTTTTACATAATATGCTGTTAATTTTATATGTGCTGTACTTGTACTTGTAGCAAACAATCGAAACTCTGGGCATTTCACCCTCCCCCTTGGGGGAAGTGCGTAGAATTGGCACCCCGAGGCTATTCGATTGTTATTATTATTGTTATGTTTTTACGAGGGGGGGGGGGTAAGAGGAAAAGTGGCAGTCCATGGATGGGTGGGTGGGGGGGGGGGTGTAATGCCATTTAGACGGATCTTATTTCAATGCGATCGCTGTGAAGGCATTGTATATTTACAATGATGTGTTTTTATTTTTATTCCTTTATATTTTTATATTTCTGTGTCTGTACTCACGATGTCATTGAAGCCACTGAACCGATTTCTTTGTGTAGCAGCTCTTAAGATCAGAAATCGTACCTGTAAGGTACATTAATAGACTAAAAATGTATAAAGTTCCTTCCTTCCCTTTCAAAATCGAGAAAAAACAACGAAAAATGTACATTTTTTTCAACTTAAAAATTACGGCGCTCAATATATATTTTTCAAAATAGTCCAATTAGTTCGAAATTTGTATAGAATAATCTTAAGACGTAGTACTACCGATGAACGTTGACAACCTAAACAATAATTATCGTACACCCTTTCTCTTAGAAAGGTTGGAATTTTTTTCTTTCTTTCGATTTTTCATGCAAAGTTTTAGGAGAACCTGAGATACCCGTGTATTGATTCCCAGTGTTAGATTAAACCATTGTAGGCCCCTACTGGAAACGTATAGTATTTTAAATGTGTTTTTTTTTTGTGTATCCGATGTAAATGTTTCGGTTAGATATTAAAAATAATAATACATCATAACTATAGGTAGGTAGGTACTCCGATGTAAAATCGGCAGGTTATTGGTTTTAAAATAGAAAGTAATTTGGATTTGTTAATTATCAATCTAAATAATCTTGCGCCCAAGATAATAAAATTAAAAAAACGCTCGAAATTTCCATTTGAAAATTCAACAGGTTTCTGTAACACATTTTCATTATACCGTCTAATTTGACCAACAGCACTTAGGCATTGGCTATATTAAGGCACGTGTACTAGTTATGTAGTTTGTCATTTGAGTGCTCTGACCTTGCAAATTTATTTCCTCAGGGGCCTCGTAAAAGCTACCTATACCTACCTACACAGCAGTTGCTGTAATATTATGCTGGGACCCGGGATCAAAGCGTGGTCGTGTCGGGTGGCTCTGTTTCATTTTAATTAAAATAATCAACCATTCCCTTTGATGCTAGGGGAATTATTTTGTATGCATAAAACGTGTACTTGATAGTTGATATGCCTAGGTACTATTTCACGGACCCCGGGGGACATCATTATCGTATTACCTACCTTATTATTAAACGAGTTGTGTCTCTTAATTAAGAAAAAGGTACTGTAACGAACTGTGTCCTTTATAATGTCATTATTATTATTATAATAGCTGTAATTTTCCACATTGACCACGATATCCACTTACTCTGTCCCTAGAAATGTTGTTTTTCAAATAGTATATTTATCTTTTAAAAATATTTGGGTAAAGGATATGATATCCTTGTAACATCATATTAGAGGGGCTTAACCATAGAATATAAATGTAGCCCTTCCTCCTATATAGGCAGTTATCTACATCTATAACGGTTCTTCATAACGATAATAGATGGGTAATAGAACTGACTGATAACAATACAAATTGCCTACAAGCATTAAAAATTTAATTTTAAATTTGGGCGATAAAAATAATATCTATTTCTTAGTTACCTATTTTAGAAACCAGCGCAGTATTTAAGTGGTCGATTGTAGAAGTATTATTTTAGTGTTCTTAAATAGTAACTGATAAGACCTACAGGACTTGAAGAAGTCCAAAACACACTTTACAAAAATAATAGCCGTAGCTATAGTATTTAGTTCAGAAAAGCGGGTTACAGAAGTTTATTAAATATAAACAATTTTTTTTAAATTATTTATATGTGAAAAAATTCTTAGAGGGAGTTCAACCCTTAAAACCACTCTAAATACATTGTAATTAAATATTATATTATCTTATAAATTGCATTTGTAAGACAGGTAGTAATTAGTAGTACACAGTTACATAAATGTAAAATTCGGAGAGCAACGTACACATATTATGGAAAAATAGATACCATGTTTTTTTGCCCTTAATAAATTTACTCATTTGAATTATGTTTGTCAAAGGGTTTTCAATTGTTTTAATTGAGCTCTGGAAATGAACATATTATTCATTACTCATTGGGTAAAAACTAAAATGAGCTACTAATACAGTTTTACATATTAGACCATTTCAATTTAAAATTTTGCTATCCCTTAACCTCTTTCTAAATAACTCCAAAATTGTTATTCTTAATTAACCTTACCTGGGTAAGCTTAAAAATAAAGATATTTGTTTTTACCCTACATGTGCATATATTTATAGTTATGTGTAGGTATATGAAACAAATCATAATAATTGAAACAGAAAGAATTCATTTAAAAAAAAAAAAAAATTGTCTTATCGTTTACAGAGACAATCCTCCGAACAAGGTCAAATGGTAATCGACGAAGAAAACTATGCAGCATCGGCAAGTTGTAGTCAGCAACAGTGCGGTGAATCCGAACAGGGCCAACAGAGTAGCGTTAGTTCTCCGGTCAGACAGGAAATATTTCATAAGAGTAGCAAGGAATTCTACAAAGCCGTAGCTGCCCAATGGGGAATCACGTGCAAAATGAGCGACCATTGCCGATGCTTGGACTGTCAGGTATAAATGGATCAAACAATTAAATATACATTCACATCATCGTAGTAGTTAAGTTGCAACAATATAATATAATATTTTATAAACATTTTTTTAATTTTAAATTTAGAGTCGTTATTTCGACTGCGAGTATGATCAAGAAAATGAACACGAGAAGACAGACGGCGGTCTTGGAGCCGGGACGCCAATGTTCTTGTCTGAAGTGATGCACGGTTCAGCTTGCACTTTATTTTAATACTTAACGGTTTTACACAGATGTGATTTTTTTTTTTTTTAACTATAATCGATAAAAAAAAAATCATGACTATTTCTTAAGTATATGCGTACGACATAAGAATATAAAATCATAAATTATTTTTTTGCCTGAACAAATATTTTACCCAGTGCCTAAAAGAAAAAAAATGTGTGCAGGTTACAATTATTATTATATTCCGGATGGAAAATTCATCCCATATAGCCTTCGCCTATATTTATTAATAAAATAAACTATAACCTTCTTAATACAATGTGTTCTTATATTATGACTTATTTTTTAAAATTATTTTTAAGTAAATCGAAATGATTTATTATGTATCGGACCATTATTTATTACCTATGTTTATAAACGACATAAATTAACTAAATATTTTAATCAAAACCATTATTAAATAATAATATAACTATTATTCTTAATCTATTTATCAATTATACAAAACACAATTTTTGACAATGAATTAAATTAAAATAATAATAAACTATATACTATTAAGTTAATAAAAAGAGTTTTTTTTTTAAATATTACAAACAAAGTCTATTGTAACCACACAAGGTTTAAGCTTAATAAATATTAACATAGATATTAATGAGATTAATATTTTATTATTTATATTTATTTTGTACATCACAACACTTTTTTTAACACAATTTATCAACAAAATTATTTTTCAAATGCTGGTACCAATATTATAATTGATAAAAATGTAAGCAATATTAATATAGTACATTTTAAGTCATAATCCGTAGACAAACTTGTAACGATTCAACATTGTTTTTTAAACATATAAATAAGGTACCAGAAAGTTTTTGTCTAAATAATTATTTAAGATAATGGAATGATTTATAATGAACACACTTTTTAAAAACTTCTCAGACAGATTCCGAATCAATAGAATTTCTTGGCTTGTGATTCTTTATTATTCCTGTAAAAATGATAATGACGTTTACATGCGTGGAAAGTAAATAAAATAATTATTATATATATATATATATATATATATATATATATATCATAAATATACAAATGACAAAAAAAAAACTAATATTTTTTAACCTCCAAACAGTCGCCTCTTTGAAGATACCATTTTCCGGTCGAGCCGCAGTGTTTACACCGCTGCTTATCTTGCCGTTGACATTTTTTTTTTTTTTTGCATATTTTGTTGATGATCTATCAGCAGCTTAAGTTACACCAGGTTAACCTCATGAATATAAATACAGTGTGTTGTTTTTCGGTAAAAGCGGTGTAAACACCGCTGACGCGACCGCTATGAGGTTATTTTTGGTTTGTTTTTATTCACATTTAGCAGCGGCAAATATAAATATTTTGACATCTCATTCTTACTTGTAAATAGCGTAGACAATGAATAATACAGATTGCACGACCGCAACTACGATCACAATTGAACTCGTCGCACAAGTGGGACACGATGTCTGTTGAGCATAGTTTGGCTTCTGGGCACTTTGAGCAGTGTCGCGTTTGATGGTGTTCAACGAATCTCTTATTTCATTCATAATCGATATAGAATCGTAACCACCGATCGGTTGGACCTGAGCAGTGGGTTGGTGAACTTGATTCTTAATTATGGTGTCAGCTTTTGAGTGTACGTCCACTACATAATTTCTACGGCCAAAGAATTACTTATTAATAATCAATAATAACGACAAGTTTTTCATTTTTTTTATGCGACCTAGACGGTTTATTAATTTTGAGCTAATGTTATAGTTTTTGTCAAAGAAAAAGGTTTTTATAAAAAAAAGTAATAAGCTAATGCATAATTTTTTTTTTTTAAAGTTTGAAGTTTCAAACTGTTTTATACTCATCAATATTTTTATCAATAGTGCTAACGCCAAAATCATAATATAATATAATATATTACATTGTTATTGATTTAAAAATCATCAATAACAATCATATTGTTAATTATCTAATGATAACTATCGACATTATCAACGGTTTTGGTTTTTGATAATTTTCTTTTTTTCTTTAACAAACCAGCCGAGTTATAATTAATTCTTATACTATATACGTCTAGTGATCTTATTGTACCTGATTTCTTTTACAGAATTAATTATATTATTCTGGGCGTTAACCAACACTTCAATATCTTGTCTTGTGACCCCTCCAGCGTTCATTTGCATTTGAGGTACTTGTGCTAAGAAATGAGAATTATTTAGAGATTAAAAATATTTGAATAACAAAAAATGTTAAGTAAAAAAATATTTACCATTTATCGGTTGGCCACCGCCTATTGCACTGGCGGCGATTGTTACGGTAGACTGAACTGTAGATAGCAAACTGAGGGTTCTTTCTTGACGTCCAACGACTTCATCCAGTTTTTGGCTCAATACCTTCACCGAATCCACAATTGCACTTTGACCGGAGAATATTTGATTCAATTCCCGCTGGCTATCGGTTTCATACCAATCTTCAAACTCAGATTCATCGTGTTTAGTTTTAGTATCGGGATGTTGTTTTTTATACCTGAAAGAAAAATAGAATAATAAAAAAAATACAGGAATAGTTGTCATTAATTTAGTTGAAGTTATCCCAGTTTTATATTGCACTAAACTTTAATATTTTCAGTAAAACTTACAACTTTTTCAAAATATATCATTCTCACCAAGTCGTGAACAGTAAAATCTATTATATGTAATTTTAGAACTAAAATGTACTCATAGATTCTAAATTCCATACAACAATAAAGTAATAAAGCTTACTTTAATAAATTTATAAAAAAAATTTTTTTTAAATATGTAATGCTGTATTTGAATTTGAGTTAAGAGTGAGTTTTTGAAAATTTCAAATTCATTAATAAAATCCCAAATATTAATCATTAATATTGTTCTAATGCGACAACATTTTAAATTATTGTAATACTGAAAAATTACTATGACTGCATTTGAAATACTAATCATTAGATAAATTTTTTTGAAACAAAATTACTTTTAGCAATAACCTAAGTGTTGCTCAAGTTTTTATATAGGTACTTACTCTTCTTTTTCTTGTTCCAATTTCCGTTGATAGTCGGCATATTCTTTTGTCAATTTCTGTTCCTCGTCAACAGATGCGGGTGGAGGTGCTCCGGCAGTTTTGAATGTTGTTCCAGGCGGGTAAAGACTGTACGTCAAAAAATGGTTTACATCGTGATCGTCTGAAAAAAAAAATAAAAAGATAAATACCTATTCATTTTGTATACGACCTACAACTTTTAATTTATCATCAGATTATTGTACCTGCAAGTCCACCAGTAGCTGCAGAAACACCAAAGTGTCCACCTTTTGGTAAGTACACTTGGTCACTTCTAAAGCAGATTTCAAAGTCTTCAGGATTGTTTGAGTTACCGCTATGGAAAAACACCTAAAATCAAAAGTCGCCATGATACGATTAAATTGTATTGAAGTAATCAAAGGTCTAAGCGGTGTTGACATATACATACTGTCAACGTGTTCATATAGTATTCTATTTTTGCTCGGGTCGAAAACGGCTTGTTTCTGAAGTCCCTTAGACATCCCGACAATTGTTGAGTGGAACCATCACTAGAATCAAAGAAGTAACAAAATGTAGAGCAAACATACAAAATTAGTATTAACCTAGACAAAGAATATTACTTGGCGTGATCAAAAACTTTGGTACCGTCATTGACGATACCCATGATGTATGGGTTGTTGTGTTTTCCATCGTTGTCGAACGAGTCGAAAAATACACCCAAACCGACCCATTTATCGGAACTGCCAAACACTGGACCCTGATAGTCACCTTTGGAAGTTGTATACCAAAATGCCTAGAAATTTTTATTTACAACAATTGATATATGTGTTTATTTTTACTCAAATATACTGACCAGGCCATCAGCGCCTATCCTGCCTCTCCCGCTAATCCTAAAATTAATTTCGACTGTCCACCATTCGAATGATGCTGGATTTTTTGTCCATATTGCGCCTAAAATCAAAATGTATAAATATAAAACCAATATTTATACATATATAGGGTAACATAAAAAAATGCATGAAATATTTAGTTTTAATAAATTTGTCGATTAATTTAGTCGTATGATTGAAAATTCTACATAATGGATTAAAGTCAAAGTAACAAGTTATTATAACTACAATAACTAAAACAGTGTAACATGTCTAAAACGGAATTGCACAGAATAAAAAAAAATGTTGTAATTAGAGCAGTTCCATCTTATTCAGTATTCTGGTTTTTCAGGGTCCGTCTTAGACAGGTATCACTGTACTTTGTTAGGTTTATCAAGGTTATGGTACCTCTTAAAATTAACTACAAACCTTTTTGACTTTTTAGCGACGGAGCTATTCTTACATTATCTGCACTGGCAATAGCATCTGAAAATGGCAATTAGGCAATTGGTAAAAATTTTAATAAATAATTAAATATAACAAACATATTTAGTTATTATATAAATAAATGACAAATAAATAGAAAGGGTTAAGTTGGTTTTCGGCTAATATTTAATATACATGTTCCAAATGAAAACATCTTTTAAGTCTCAGACTTATATCTGTAATAAGCGCATTGAACTTTTAATTAATATACTGTTACATTTCAAGTTAATTGAGAAACCTAATAGGAATAGGTATTTGATTTTAAAATATTTTTGTTTAAGTTTGTAAACCTTTTTTTATAAAACTGTTATTATAGAATTATTACCACTGCATCAATTTCAGTACATTAGTTACACTGATTTTTATCAACAATGATTTCTGGCAGAGATAATACTTTTTTTGATAGTAAGTGTCCAATAAAGAACCTAACGCGTGGTAAATTCATTTTTTTTTCAATTTAATAAAGAAAACTGCGCTTGGAGATTGCCGACTCTGCCACGCAACGTCTCATATATATCTACTTCTAACAGTCTATTCCTAAAACTACTCCGACTTAAGTTTTGTAACAGACATTTGAATTAAAAACAAATTTTGTACAAAAAAAGAATCTTTTAGGTGTAGTAAAAGTAATTTAGTTTAAGAATTTTTTTTGAGAGCGACAAATTTTACAGGGATTGTACTTGAAAAATTTCAATGGTAAGTTCAGAGGCACGTTTTTTTTTCGGCGGTTCGCAAAAACGGTAAAATGTAAAAATAAAAAAAATAGTCAACATACTTCCTCCGTATTCCCAAAACGGTACCGAACCGTCTTTTTGAGCCAGATAAGGCGGTTTGAAACTGTACTTGTACTCGAACCTGGACACTATTTGATTGGAACTCGCGTAAATCGCGTATGTGGCCGCATTAAGGATGAAAAATAGCGTGTTAAACGACATGTTTGTCACGGCAAATCTAATCGGCGATTTCGAATTGTCTTCTTCCGTTAAGCGCACTCAACATTTTCGCGCAGCAAACTGTACGGTTGGCATGTTTGCTGTCAACATATATCACACGTCGGAGGTACGTTGTGTTTGTGTACGTGTTTTTTTGGGGGGTAGAAACACGAGACCAATATTGTGTCTATATTCAATAAATCACCTAAACTACGAATAATTCACGACCAAACTGTTGTTTTACGAGAAGCGCGCTGGTACACGGATGGGACGGGACATCACACTCGGCTCGTGTTGTATTCAGGCGTTTTGTATATTGTACAATTAATAAACAACACTATAATATACCTATTATATTGTACAAAATGGTAATAACAAAATCGTTACGATGTGTATTATAATTATCGAATAAAGTACCGAACGGCGAACACCGACCACCGCTTCTTATCAACGAACGCGGCTGCCACTGTGGCAATTATTTGCAAACGACGTGTCCGCTACGGCCGCTCCGCCGTTATCAGTAGAATTCCGTGGCGCTACTTTGCCTCCAGCCAAAGACATTGTATACATATTATAACGTACACTGTCTTTGCATCCAACTCACCGGCTGTTATACCGCATTGGTCGTTAGCCTAACCGCATAAATATTTGCAAACTGCAATGTACAAACAAACTATTGACGTTTATGCCATTTGTTTGCCGACTCTCGTTACGGCCGTGTGTTGTCGTTTAACGTATTTCCGAAAAAAAAAAACAACAATGTGCTCTTATTCTTCTCAGTTCGCATCGTCTGAACAAATGTTACATTACTATATTTTAATCGTCGAGGCAAAAGATATTTATTTTCTATTGTGTGGCAGACGGCGCATGGTGTAGTAAATTATGCCTTATAAAGGTAAGGCTTGAATTATTTAAGTAGTATTATAATTTTAAAAAAACTAGTAATTTGTCGAATCGGCATGGAAAAAAATTGTTAATTGTTAGTAGGATTTATGAAAAAATATTATATGTACAAAATATCGTTATTGTGTGCTTGTTTATATGAGCGCTTTGAAGCAGTTGACATTTATAATAATATGTATAGACTATTTTGTTTATCACGTTTTTGAAAAAAAAAAACTTATTCTTTAAACTGATCATACAACTACCACATGTTCGGCATAAATGGATTAACATTTCTTTAACCTTCAAGCAAGCAGTGGTGCCTTTGAGATTTCTGTTGGCTGTTGCACTGTGGTATTTACACCGCTCTCAATTTTGAGTAGGATAAATGTTATTTTTGCTTATTGTGTGGACAGTGAACAACCTATCAGCTAGAGAATAGAGAATAGTATAGATACCTAAGATGCGACCACATGGAGGTTAATTCAGCTATTGAATTAAAATATTTTTAAACATGTACTTTTTTCAGGCATAATGTATTTTACTTATTGATGACTACACAAAAAAACCTCCTATGTTGAAAAATTGGCTTTTCTTTTTTTTCAATTTGTAAGGTTTTGCTTTATACTTATCGTTATACTTTAATACATTCAAAAATAAATCTTTTTTTTTTCACTTGCCATGAAATTATGATAAACAACAATTTTTTGCCCACTGTGTTAAGTTCCAATAGGTATACTTAAAAACCCAACCTGATCAGTAAAGGTTTTAGATCAGCCCATTTCATGGCCACGTACAATTGTATTATAGAACAGTGGCCCAGTCCTGAACTGCTTTAAGCTAAGCTTTAATTTTTGAACTGGGTGTAAAAGCTTAGTTGTAAATAATATTGAGCTGGTTCGGCAGCAGAATATTATGCACAAACTTGCTGCCTGGTTTAGAACAAAACAATTTAATCTTTCGTGTTATTATTTTATTTATTTTAAATGTAATAGTGATTCCAAAATTAGGGATAGGTATATAAATATTATATTAAAAAATATGTAATTTTAGAGTTCTGGTATTGGACTTGTTGCCTTAAAATTAAAATTTAAACCAAGATAGTATCCATATTTTGTCATTTTTAACTTATTATATTAACTCATATTTAAGTTTAAAAATTATATAGATTTTTTTTAACAATGTGTTACACAATACACTCATACTTTATTTAGGTAATGTGTCTAGCGTGTTTTTATCAACTTTTCTTCGTCTGGGTTACTGAAACACCAAGGGGCTGTTCGTATAGGAAACTTGAGTTGAACTGGTTTTAAAATGTCCACAGAATAGTTCTACTAAATAAATCCTACTAGTATAGTGTTTGCAAAAAACGATTAGATATGATATATTATAAAAATCTAAACGATTTTTTGCAAACACTGTATTGGTAGAGAATATTCTACTTCAGTGAGACACTAATGCGTTAGCATTGATATAGGTTAAAACATAACAGTGGTGTATGTTACCTATTGTTAAATTTATACAATACAAGTACATTATTTACATACAAATATAAGTTTTTATTGTACTTAAAATAATGAAAGCATTATGATAGGTATTAGTATGTAAAATTACTTTTTTCAAATTTTAATTAAATTTCCATACGTTTCATAAAAACTTATTGCATTACAGTAATTTGTATTTTTAGACTACCCAACAAATGTTCAAATGTTAAAATTTCATGTATTTACTAAGTTTATTGGTATTAATATGACTGCGTCCAGGTAAAAGGGGTTAAGTTCAAAATTGCAATCATTTTCCCCCTTGTTAAATCAGAATAAAAATTTTAATTTTAATAGTGACAACCCCATTTTTGTCAAAAATGACTTAACCCATTTTACCCGTTATCCGTCGATTATAGTCTCTTGTTAACTTTATTTATTTAGTTTACTTGTGTAAACTCTTTACTATTTATTATTGTAAACTTTATTATATTGTTTACTGCGGGCTAGTTCCGTTCAGAATAAATACATTATTTCGTCCGGTGTACTAAAAGCCACATAAATTACCGCAGCAAAATAATACAAGGAAAATCCTATTAGTATAGGGTCTGCAAAAAATGTCTAGATATAACATGATAATAGTCCAAAAGTCTTTTTGTAGACCCTATATTGGTAGACAATATTCTACTTCACTGAGATACTATTGCGAGAAAACAGGAATGTTGTGTACATTATTATTATAATTATAGTACAACTACCTACCTAACTTATTTCTTTTATATTAAAATTCTTCATAAAGAACCATACCCTAAAAAATGTTTAATTTCTGGTTTAATAATTGATTAGCAAACTTCTGCATGTCATTATTAATTATCTGACATCTTCTTAAATCGTATTTAAAAACTATTCTTTTCGAAAGAAAGTATTAAACGAGTGATCTATAAATACTAACCTTAATTGGCCTATTTTTAATATATTATTCATTTCTACGTAAGTGTTTATAGGCTTCAGCCTAATAGGCTAATTTCAGTTAGATACATTGATATTCATAAATGTAAATTTATATAAATATAGTTGACCATTACTATATTTATATAAATTTTCATTAGTCAAGGGAGATCAGTTATATTATTTTTTTACGAATAGCAATATTTTGAAGTTTTATAATTGAATTGATTATTTTAATAACGTGTAATGTTGTGATAAGGTATATTGCCATTTATTTACACACTCACTCATTGTATTCATGCCTATTATAGTGTGTTTTATTAAGTATTAACGATTTCTTGATCCTGATTACTGAAACGTCAAGATCTTCTTATGTACAAGGAAAATCCTACAAGTATAGCATGTGCCAGAAATCATTTAGGTAAGACATTATAAGAAACCAAACGATTTCTGACATATGCTGTATTGTTAGAGAACATTCTACTTCAGCGAGGTGCAAGTACACAAAATATTATGTTTTGAGTTAAACCGACTTTATACAAGTACTAAATTTTATCTTTGTCATTTTGTTAAATCTATAAATCTAATAAAAAAATCTTATTAGTATTGTAGATTAGTATAAATCTGTAATAATAATCCTACTAGTATGGCGTTTGCCCAAAACGTTTAGATAAGATATATTATATAATCCAAATGATTTTGAGCACACGCTATATTGGTAGAGAACATTCTACTTTAGAACCTAATCTAGTTATTGAAAATTATATTTTTAAATCTGTATGATTTTTTAGGTGTTTTACCAAGTAACAAATGTCAAAACAATATGTATAACTTTTTTAATTGTAAAAAATTATAATTTTAGCAATTTCACACAAAAATTGGCACAGAACATTCTGTTTCAGTGTCTAAGCGTGCTTGAGAAATTGAAATAACCAAAATAGCTCTAATGATTCCTAAGATTTGTTTTTAAAAATCTGTAATAATAATAATCCTACTAGTATGGCGTTAGCCCAAAATGACTAGATATGATATATTAGATAATCCAGTCAAATTTGAGCTTACGCTGTGTTGGTAGAGAACATTCTACTTCAGAACCTAAGCTAGTTATCAAAAATTATATTTTTTAATTTGTATGATATTTTAGGTGTTTTACTAAGTAACAAATGTCAAAACAACATATGTAACTTATATTATTGTAAAAACTTATAATTTTAGTGATTTTACACAAAAATTGGCACAGAACATTCTGCTTCAGAGTCTAAGCGTGCTTGAGAAATTGAAATAACCAAAATGGCTTTAATGATTCTTTAAAAATGTCTAATGATGTAAATTATTATATAAACATTGTACACGTGCCTCAAATGTTGTATTAATGTGTAATTTCTTTCAAAATCTGTAATAAAAATCCTACTAGTATGGCGTGTGCATGAAATCTTTTAGATATGACATATTACATAATCCAAACGATTTCAAGCATATGCTATATTGGTAGTAAACATTCTACGTCAGAGCCTAATAATTGTGCGTGAGCAGTTGAAGAAAATATCTACAGTGGAAGTCTACAAGAATATATGTATCTACAGCTAAGAAAAACCTACTGAACATATCCTATTAGTACCGTGTCTGTGAAAAACGTTTAGATATGATATTTTACGATAATCTAAATGATTTTTCACATACACAGTATTGGTAGAGAACATTCTGCCTCAGACTCAAGTCGTGCGTAATCAATTGAAATAACAAAAATGGCTCATTGTGTGATTTCTTTAAAAATCCTACTAATATGGCGTTTGCTATAAATTGTTTAGATAAGACATATTAGATATTCCAAATGATTTATAGCACACGCTATATTGATAGTGAACATTCTACGTCAGAACCTAATCTAGCTATTGAAAACTATATTTTTTAATCTGTTTAATATTTTAGGTGTTTTACCAAGTAACAAATGTCATAACAATATGTGTAACTTATATTATTTTAAAAACTTATAATTTTAGAGACTTCAGAGACCAATTGTGCTTGACCAATTGAAGTAATAACTAGATTGGATTTAATGATTTTTTTGATTTGTTTCAGAAACATTATAACTTACCTCGTGTGTCCCATAATGTTTTAATTCTTCATCCAGGTTACTGAAAAGCCTAGAAATAG